GATAATCCTCTAGTGTCGGTGCTAGCAACAAGAGGAGCAGAGTTGATAAATGTGATGGTGGGTGTCTTGAGCAATCTTGCTCACAGTAACACCAAAGATGAAGCTCGCCATGCACTCGCATCAATTGCTGTCCTCAGTAAAGCCCTTCTTCCCCACCTAGGCCAAAAATTACGAAAGAAATCAGCTTATATCATAAATACCTTGGTCCACACCCTCACGTATTATACCACAAGATTACAGGAACTGGCTCCATACCTAGCAGGTTGGTTGGTTTTGTTTTCACTGGGCCTGAGCTTTATAAAACTTTATGATCACATTCTTATAGGTATAGCTTATCCTTACAACTGTATCATGACATGCCTGGTCCTACCAGTACAACAGATGCCATCTTGGCCTGGCCCACCTTCCTTGAGCTGGCCCACTAGCTTGGAGGCACATGTATAAAAAGAAGGCAAAAATTACAAATTGCTTGCAATGCAACCTATATACACACAGAATATACTATACTATACTCCAGAATATACTATCATTGATACTGGGTGATTTAATGACAAGACATCTTTCTCCTAAATTTCAGATCATTGCAATGAACTCCTGCTGAACGTCTGCCAGAGTGGTATAGAATGTTGCCCAGACAGTCTCTCCTCAGTCATCCCTGTTCTTTTTACAAGGTCTGTTTATTTTTCAGTATTTTCTGCGTAGTTTATTTGTGTTTTGACCTCCGCTGAAGTCAACATGAAGCACTTATTACTTTATTGACTGTTTACATGATTGGGCAGTTTGTCAGTAGGAATACAGTAAAAGGTTGCATTTTGTTTTTAAACTATTGTTAGGTTAGCCACAACCCCGAACCAATTGAGTAAACATTGGTGGTGAACCAGGTCTGTTTAGATCTAGGCTCTAGGCCAGTTTTCAAGATTCATTGCCAGGACAGTCGATATTAGTAAATGGGATATGCATAATCTTCAAGCTTCAAAGATATTGACAAAAATGTTGGTAGCATTTTATTTCTTGACTGTTTGATGACCTGTAACTATATATTACATTTCAGAAAAATGGTATTCTAAGATATTAATTTTAGGCCCTTTTTTCACATACTGTTCTTGGAAGATTGTTTCAATTGTGTAGTTATCTTATTATATTCATTTTGTTGCATATCAGTTATTACTAATGTTTGACTGAATTAATAGAAAATGTAATCAACCTCAGCCTCAAAGAATTCTGGAATGTGAAACCTCAATGGTGTGCAGGTAATGAATTCAGTTCAGATGTCAGGAGAATCTCCAGTATATGGCTGATATTCTTATGTTTTTTTATTAAGATATGTATTTCTGGTTAAGATATAATGAACATACATCAATTATGTGTCTTGTATGGTAATATTATTCATTCTCATTTGTATCTTTTTCTGCTTGTCACACTAAACTACTTATTACTTTGGCAGTATTTGGTGTCATGAAAATAGTATAGTTGTAAGCATGTCAGCCCTGCACTTGTCAATTGTACAAGTTTGTTCAGTTTTTCAGTTACCCCAGGTGCTTCAGCTTCAACTTGCAAAAAACAAAGTAACTGGATTTTAAGTAATGTTTATGATGCATACATACATACACATAGGCACACAGAAATTTTTGGAATTGTAGAATAAGTGTTGACAATGATGAATGGTAAATAAATGAATTTTCATACTTTCTTTCTTACAATACCTCACATTTGGCAAAAGAAAATATGAGCAATTGGTTATAAGTTGTGAGGAAGAAGGGGAGGTTTCTGCCAGCAGTCAAGGGGAGTCATGCTAATCTTGTCTATCTGGCATTCCCCTGACAGACCAGGATAATTCACCAGCCATCTTGGTCATAGGGATGAAACTCACCACTTAGCACAACACTGAGCAAGAAAAGCTGTGTTAGTATCTCATCCCGGGTACAGGGAAAAGACGATGCCAAAACAAAAACTAGTATAATTACTAAGAGGCTTATCTTTTGATTATCTAAACGATGATTATTGTATCATATTAGGTGGAATTACTTTATAGAGATAAGTAATTTGTATTGCAACTAGCAATGGAAGTGATTTATACCCTGGTGGACAAAGTGAGAGCCAGAGAAAAATTATGGATAATCAGCCACAAATATCATGATAGCAGAAAATAAAAAAAATAAAATAGAATTTTGCTTTACATGAGGTGTAATCATATGGCTGGCAAGGCTTTGTCACAATTGAAATTTATTCTATTTTACTAAGTTTTGTTTTTTCTTTTTTTTCTTTTTATCAGTCCTTGATAAATATCATGCATTATTAATTACGCTGATAGCAGTATGTGTTACCGAAAGGTTATTGTCAGATTTTCTATTTCTGTTGAAATATTGGGTATCTTGATTAACAGCATGGTTATATGATCTATGATATTTAATAGAATAGGTGGAATGGCTTTTCTGGGACAATAATTCTCTATGGGGGACATATTATCTATGTGACCAAGCTAGTGAGCCCCCCTTTACCTGACCAGACACTCAGCATGCCTATTCAGGCATCCTCTACCATATTCAATGTGACCATTGCTTTATGTACACACACCTCACATGGCCACTATCAGGAAATGATTTTCAGCTACAAAGTGTTAGCTACATATTTAAAGAATTGAAAGTTTATTCATGAATAGTTACCCAGACACTGGAATGTCAGGTATGGTGTATCTTTGTTTCCATACATATCATGCATCTCCAATACATTCATTCCAAACAGGCTCCTGCCATTTGCTCGGGAATCATCCAGTGTGAGGGAGTCTACCATGCAGATTATAACAAGGGTGGTAATGTGTGAACAACAGGACATCCAGAAGGCTGTTGCGTATTTACCACCTTTCCCTGATACAGGGTTGGTAATATCTTTGCATATCAATGTGACATATTGTAGCACTGGTTTGAAAATAGTTTACAGCTCATTGTAAGCAAGATATGATTTCCATCCATGATTTCTTCATCAACAGTGACTACCAGTGTCTCGCTATCCTGAGTGACCATCATGGCCAGTTGGTAGAAGTTTTTCGTGGCAATCTTATGTTGTACGATGAAGTGGAAAGCTTCCTAGCTTTGTCCACAGAGCAGACTAATGCTCACTCTGTATCTCATATTCTCAAGCTGGTAAGTAAATGGTTTTGTAGATTACACTTTTCTCCTTTGCTGCCATTGCTTCTGTCATGTTTCTATTATTTTCTACCTTCTCTACTCTCTTCTTTTCTCTTCTCCTTCCACTGCTTTTTTTCTTTCTTCCTTTCTCTGTTTTTCTTTTCCTTGCTCCATTCTCCTTTCTCAGTTTTTTTTTTGTTAACATCTCTTTCTTTCTCTCTCCACTTGTTGTCATCTTCTCCTCTCTACTCTTTCTATTTCCTCATTTCATCATTGTAAAATTAAACACCACCAATATTAACCACATGAGGTTGCAGATGGCATAGCATTCACTACTATTTTACAGATTCAGAACAGCAGGTCACAGGTGAAACAGCTCTACAGTTCACCAGACATGGAGGGTGTGACTGTTGGCCATCGCTTGACACAGGACCTTATGAATCTAACATTATCTACAGATGAGAAGGTTTAGTATATATGTGTTTAAGGAATGTCATGTTTTGTGTAACTTTTATTACTATGATTACTATTTCTTTTTGTTTAAAATAGCTTTTTTGTATGTGTGTTTAGTATTTTGAAGGGATAGTCAGGTGATATCTGAATTATATGAAGTAGTATGTGTTAATAAATCAAGTAGTTATATAAAGTAATGATAGTGTTGCCAGTTCATTTATACTTTCAAATATCCTTAGGTTGCACTGGAAGCAAGCAAATGCTTGGGTGAACTAGGCCCCATTCCCTTTAACACTCCGATCTTCCACATCACCAAAGAAAAATATCCTCTTAACCCAGAAAGTGTGCAAGGAGCTGTGGCATCCCTTATCATCAAGACTCTCAACATGTATGTTTTTTGAGTGACTTTGTACTGTTTGTACTAATAACCCAGTGCTGATGGGTGTCTTGCACGCTATACTGGACTTTGCATAATCAGCTGCTCAAGGGAAATGTTATAAGCAGCATATATAAATTTTCAGTAAATGAGGATAAAAGTTATTTAAAACCTATTTTTGATGGATTGTTTGGTGTCTATGGTCCCTCTTAAGGCATGGGTTGGCATTTATATGGTCAACACATGGTATCAACAGCTGTCAGTATTGTATACAGGCAGTGTGCAGTATTAAATGTGGTGTAATTTGAATGTGCCCAGTTGCCTACTACATTTCACCCAAAGTAAATTCTTGTTAACTTTTTTTTTTTTTTTTTTTTTTTTCATTTTTCTTTCTGCCTTTGGGTGTTTTAACCTTTATTCTTTGACATTTGGAAACTCCCTCGACTGACAGGTGCACTTCATTTATGATTTATTTTAGTTTTGTAGTGATTGAGAGGTTTCAGATGGGTCTTCAGGTCATGTTGACAGTGATTTCGATCCAGAAGAAGTTTTGAGTAATGGAGAGTTCTAGAGCTGTTTTCATAATTTGCTATAGTAGAGCATCGCGTGTGCGCCCAAACTTCACACCTCTTATAATTTTTCAGTCAATTTTTTTATTTTCATTATTGTATGTTCCTCAGTTACCGAGGTATGAAAAAATTAGCAAAATGTGTATATTTTTATGTTATTGCACCTTACCATTATCTTCCTTAGGGAAACAAAAGCTTGTTGCATTGTTTGAAAAAAGTGGGCTGTCAGTGACTTAGTGTACAAGGCTTTGTTTACACTTGGAGGATGGCTGAGGAACAGATTAGGTTAATGAGGTTGTGTTATCCATGTCAGGCATTATTTTTATAATACACATGTTCTTTAGGTCATATAATCTTTGGTGTTCATTTAGCATTTTTGTATGCAATACATTCTCAACAGTGTAATATATACAGTGTAATGATAATTGCTTGAGCATGGTAAGAAATAGATTATTGAATATATACCATCTATATTAGTCACATTATCAACATGGGGTATAAAACAGTATTTAATAAGTCATTGCAATCTACATTTTTATTTTAGAAATTTTATTAAAGCATTTTGATTGAATTTCCTCTCACACAGGTACCTGACAAGTGAACACACAGACATTGTCGAGGCTGCTAGTTCCTCTCTTCTATCTGTGTTATCCACAAGGGAGGGATACAAGGCTCTTCAGGATATGGACAAGAAACTCCAAGTGGATTTAGCTCCATATATTCCTAAACATATGCCAAAGGAGTCTTCTACTTCTTATACAGGTGACACTTTCTCACCCTCTCTCTCTCTCTCTCTCTCTCTCTCTCTCTCTCTCTCTCTCTCTCTCTCTCTCTCTCTCTCTCTCTCTCTCTCTCTCTCTCTCTCTCTCTAAAAAAAATATATATATATATGTATATATATATATATGTAGAGAGAGAGAGAGAGATATGTATATATATTTTGTGTGTATGTTTATTGTATAATTGACTACTTTTGTGATGAAGTATAGATTATATTGGTGTTTAAAATACTGACACAATGTGATCCTTTGAGACTGTTTCTCTCCATTGTGTTACCATATTAAACAGTGAAAGGTAAATCTGAAGCAACTCCACTTTTTGCAGGAGAGGAGCTGTATGAGAGTGAAGTTGGTCGTGACAATGTGTGGCTGTCAGGGAGCAGTTATGAGGAGTGGGTGATTTGTTTGGCCTGCACTCTGATTGGTGCTGGCTGCAGCAGTGAGATCATTACACACATTCTGCCAGTTTGCCGAGTGAAAGTGAGTCTAGGCTAAGATTGCATCCACACTGCCAGTAAATTTGAACAGACTGAAGCAAATTCTCTACTGCTGTAATCAATGGACATTGGCAGAAAGCAAGCATGAATGTAGGCCAGCACAGGTAGTCAGCAGTTAACATTTCTCACTTGAACAGAAAATATCAAATATCTACTAGGTTCAAGACACACAAAAGGATGAAAAAATGTAAAAGCCTGCTCCTTTTTTCCTAATTGATTTTTAAATTTTATTTAGCAAGGACTCACAACCAAACCAGTTCACCTTGCTCCTGCCTGCCCACTATTACTTGTTACCTATGTGGATGCAGCTGAAGACAGGGCTAGCCAACCTTATAGTTAATATATATCACTTTTTTCATACTTGAGCTCAAATGCACCATTCCGTTCTTGTTGCGGGGCTTTCAGTATTTGAATCTAACAGCCTCACTTGCCCTACTTCTAATCATTCAAAGTACCACAGGTTGGCCACCCCAACCGAAGGGCTGGATTACACTTTTTTCTTCTTGGTTACATCTTCAATTTTTTTTTTTTTTTTTTTTTTTTTTTTTTTTTTTTTTTTTTTTTTTTTTTTTTTTTTTTTTTTTTTTTCTTTATTAGGGTGAATTTTTTAAAAGGTTTTGTTTCATAAGTTATTTAACTTTTCAGGCAGAGTTCAGTGCCTTTATGCTGCCTTACATCATACATGCCACACTTCTTGCTGACAACGGGAGGAAAAGAGAGGTGCTCTCAAGGGAGATATCCTTCTTTTTCCAGCAACATGTTGAGAAGAGCAAGCACATGAGTGACACAGGGATGTCTAGTAAGTTAGAAATAAAAAGTGGTAAATAATGGTCAGTCAGATTCATTTTCAGTGGATGAGAATTCTCAAGGTCAGATATTTTTATACCCTATTCCTTTCATACTTTGATGATATGTTTAATAAAGTTTCATGTTTTCAGATGCTGTTGATCTGATGTGCCTTAACAAGTCTTCTATTCAGGTGCTTCTCAGTGTCATAGACTACTTGCGTGCTCAGACCCCAGAGAGGAGCTTCACAAATAGGTAATAAGTTTGGGATCCTTCAAAGAGAATCATTATATCATATATGATAATTGCATGATAATTAAGTAGGTCGATATATGAGGAGTAACTTCTCCAAGAAAAGTAGTCTCAAAAATGGGAAAGGAAATATAGTAAAAGATAAGAAAAACAAGTGCCATGGCAATTTTTCGTTGAACACAGCGCCATCCGTACAACCAGCAGCCGCCTTACGCCATGGGAGAAAAACTGGTGGCTGCGTGTGAATTACCTGCAGGTGGCTCAGGCTGCACACTACTGTGGAGCTCACTTCTCTGCCATCCTCTTCCTCCATCTCAGTTGTAAGTTTTATGGCCATAGGTATTTCATTTTTTACTCCTGGTTTTGTTTGAGCTTTCCTTTTTTTGTGATATGTGTGTGTGTGTGTGTGAGTGCATTTGCATATATGTGTGTGTGTGTGTGTGTGTGTGTGTGTGTGTGTGTGTGTGTGTGCATGTGCATGTGCATGTGCGTGTTTGATTCCATAGTGTTTTAACCCAATGCCGACGGGTAACACATGTATGTACGTGCTATACCCACTGTGAGTTACTTGTTTGATTGTTTTTACACATAGATGGCAACACTTCTACTAAGTCACCAATGCGCCAGCTATGAGTACTGCCCGTCTCACCCGTTTACCCTTTTCTATGATTTACGAAATATTTTATGTTATCTTATTTTGCTGTTACTGATGTTAAAAGATATAATAATAATTAAATTTTTTATAATAAAAATAACACCATCAATATTCATAGCACTAGTGAAAAATGTTTTTCCCACCATTTCAAATCAGGCACTAGCAGAGCCATCTATGGGCAGACATTTCACAGAAATATAGAAAATAGGCACAGCATTTTCCCCATTTTTAGTTAATTTTCCCAGGCAGCATTGGGTTAAGGGTTTTGGATTATGAGCATATCTAAACTGTGGGATAAGAGAAGTGGTGTCTTTTTTTTCATAGATGTTCATGGGTGCCATGAATTAGATTCTATCCTATGACACAGAGTCTGGAATCCAGCTCCTTCCTTTTTACACATTCTCTGTTTTCACGTTAGTTGCATTTCCCTTTGCAGGTGAAGAGCTAGAGCGTGAGATTAGGGAGAACACTGATGAAGAGACAGATGTAAATTCCAGACAAATTCCCCCACTCCGCCGCCTGTCACACCTGCCTGAGGACACTGTTCTCAGAAGGCTAATGCTACAGGTATGATAGGAAGTTTTTTGGAAGACCAATGTTCACACAGTGGAAGCTGCAGCACCTTGGGGTGCTTTGCCAGAACCAAGAGGTGCCACAAGACTCTAAAGTGTCACATGAACCTCATGGACTGTATCTAATAAATGAAACTTTATTTATAAATTTTGTTTCATTTCACTTTATTTTAATTACATCATTCAGTTTTGAAAATCTTGTGTTAGTTTGCACTTGAATTATAAGTTACTCTCATTCTTTTGATGACTTTGATGTTTTCATTTCAAGATGTAACTTATGTTTATTTTCTTGGAAGCACCAATACTTTTTAGAACAGATGAAGTTACTTTCTGCTGTCAAGATTAACAGATGGGATGGGAGAGATGGCCAGAGAAAAGTGTGCTACAGAAAGGATTATATATATTTAGGAAGTCATTTTATTAGAATCTGTCTTAAATGTAATCTGGTGTAGCTGACAGTCAAGGGAAAATAATGCTAGAAGTTGTGTATGTACTCAGTTTTAAGATAGTAGTCATTAATTTGGTTATATAAAGGGGGTGGTAGATGTAAACATATAAATGTGTTCTAGGTTCTTAGATAGACTGTTTTTTTCAGATATACAGTAGTCTTGGAGACAGTGATGGTGTGGAAGGCTGTGGTGGTGGAAGCAAGCTTACTCACACCACTTCGAGGGCTGTGAGGTGCCAGCATAGGGGTCAGTGGATGGAGACACTCGCTATCCATGATGCTGCAAATTCCACATTTGGTTGGTGTTTTGTGTTCTGAGTTTATTTTGCGGTTTGCGTTATATATTTATTTGTTTTGCATTTGTTGTGCCATTTTCTAGGTGTTAAGTAAAAAGATTATCTTTTGATGAATAAGCCAGAATATATTCACATTTCTTCCTCTTCTTTCCAGGAATGATTACCAGTCTACAAGAGCTTGGCTTCTTCAACACAATAAATCAGATGCTCAGTAGAACATCAGCCAAGCTCTCACCGGAGCTTTCAGCTGCTCAGTAAGTTATCTGGGGTTAGGGGGGATAATATTGTTTTGTAGGACTAGTATTTGATATCAGTGTTCTTGCTTTTTGTTATAAGTAGTACCATTTTTTCTCTTTTCCTGTATTCTCTCTCTCTCTCTCTCTCTCTCCCTCTCTCTCTCTCTCTCTCTCTCTCTCTCTCTCTCTCTCTCTCTCTCTCTCTCTCTCTCTCTCTCTCTCTCTCTCTCTCTCTTTTATTGATCACTGATTGCATTTACTTGTGGCTCCTGCTGTTCTGAATGAAACTGAAAATGAAAATTTCCCATATACAAATCTAGTTGCTCAATTAATGGTAACCCATAGGTGGGAATCAGCCTGGAGACTCACACAGTGGGACCTGGACTTAGGGAAGACAGAAGAAGAACCACACTCCAATGGGACAGATGGAATGGATGAATGGAACTTTCACAAGCACTTGTTTCATAGCCTCCAGTATCTGCGCTTCCAGGAAGCAGGAGGTCTCATGCACCATGCACTCCAAGCCAAGAAAGGAGTCATCAGCCAGATAAGAAATGTAGGGCTTCTTTTTTTGTTGGATTTTAGGTTTGGGTGGGGAGGAATCGGCCTGGTAGATAGAGGAATAGGAGAGGAAGGAGAGAAGGTGCTCTATGACCTCCCCACATCTCAAAATTCACTAGCCATAAATCTCAGAGGTCACATAAACAGGCTTTTTAAAAATAAGACATGCCTGAGGGAGTATATTGCTCCACCCAGTTGACTTTTCTTGTTTTTAGCTCTCTATCCAGTGGCTGGACCACACAGTGCTTACCTCTGGATGCCTAGAGTTGGTTTTATTTATTTTTGTTTATGGGTTTTGATGGTAGGACAGATTTCTTGTATGTAGCCTATAAATGTCTTCCATATTCATCATATCCTACTCTATTTCAAATTCCTATTGGCTAACTTATGACTTTACAATGTAGAAAAGGATTTTTCAAGACCGATCACCATTCTTTACATGACTTGATCTTGTATACAAACCAGAGTCGGGCAGAAAGTAGCAGCTCTGTATACCCGCTGTTGACTCAGCTGCAGATCCTGAATGAAGTTGAGGCAGCATCCTTACTCTTGAGTAAAGCTGAGTCACTTGATGAAGTAAGCCTCAAGTATTTAGTTTTTCATTGTTTATGATTGTATTTTGTTTATCTTTATTTCTTTGCTACTTTATTATATATCATTTATTTTCAATGTTAATTTCACTTCTTCAGATCACAGTTTCAAATTTAAGTATTTGAAAAGGTTGTGTGATAGAAATGAGTTGATGATTTCCTAGTCATTTTGATTTAGATGTAATGGTTTTGATAAGTGATTATAGTGATTATATATTCCCTTTTTTGGGTTTTGTTTATCAATTTAACCCCTTGGTGCCGGGTGACGCCGATCGGCGTGCAAACAAACCGCTCGAAAGCTGGCGTGCAGCCAGTGATTCGGCCTGATGTCCCCTACTCACGCGCTCAAAGTCGGTGCGCCGCCTTTGATTGCTAGAGCATAGAGTTTTTTTGTTTTTTTTTTCACCCGGCGTCATTGGGTTAAGGTGTTATAATGATAAAGAATGCTATATTAGAAATGAAAGCATCTTTGAAAAATTTTCCATCCATCTTTTCTTTTTCTCTCTTTCTACAGTCTCACAGAGCATTAAAAGAGTTGGAGAAGTTGTGGGCCTCAAAAGATCAGCCATTCAATGTGGACTTCCGTTACAAGGAGCCCATCCTGGCAGCAAGGATTTCTGTGCTCCAGTCCCTCCCTGCAACACATAAGTCTTCCAGCACCAGTCTCCTCCACAAGACTCTGGTGTGTGTGTTTATATATATCTATATCTATCTACCTATCTATCTGTATATATATATATATATATTATATATATATATATAGAAGTATATAGATTATATAGATTTATTTATTTATTATATCTGTCTGTCTGTCTATTTATCTGACTATCAATCTACATGTATATATGTATTTATGTATGTGTGTGTGCCCACATAAAAACATACACTTTCGTGTATGATTGTTTGATTCATTATTTGGGAAAGAGGGGTAGATGTCTGGCATATATAGTAAAATGAATAAATGCATAATTGAAAACTAAAATTAGAAATAGAATCTGGCATGATTGTTTTACATAAGCCAAACTAAAACATGAAACATACCCCACCAAGTAATATATTTCCATATCTTGCCTTCAATAGCTCAGCAAAAGTATGTTGTCAAGGGAGAGCCTGAGGATCCATGGGGGAGGGTGTGAATCAGCCCTGCAGCAAACAGCAAGGCTAGACGTCTCTACAAGCATGGCCTGGAGGACGCGGCTAGAGGAGGCCCATGTCGCCAGGTACAAGGGAGACAGCCAGGATGCAGGACAGATTCTCAGCTCACTGCTTGAAGAGATGAAAGGGGTACATTTCCATGTTGTTATTTCGTGTTGGTCCTCTGTACTCTATCTGTTTCTCTCTCTCTATCTCTGTTTCTCCCTCCCTCCCTCTTTCCCTCCTTCCCTCCTTCCCTCTCCCTCTTCCTGTTTTTCTCTTTCTCTCTCACACAGTTGTTCATTCACCAAGAAGTTCCCAGATCTGCCTTATCTCAGCTTCTTATCCTGTTCTTTGAATTTTGGAAAAAGTTTTTATATTTGTTGCTATCAGTAGTAATAATGATATTATTATTATTGTTGTTGTTGTTGTTGTTGTTGTCTTTATAATAATTGTAATTATTAACAGTAATAGTAGTATTGAGAATAGATACTTTTCATTGCAGATCAGGTAGGCAAAATGGTTGATCCCTTGTTACTAAGGACTTTTGGAGCAATATTTGTGGAAATAAAACCACAGCAGGCAGTTAATGTATACATTTATTCCCAACATAAATGTGCAAATCATATTCATAATTGTTAAGATTTGTATTAAATGCTATTATTGCAGGTAAAGCTGGAGCCAGAGCAAGAGGAGGTGTTGTGTCAGAGCCTGAACCTGTATGGCTGCATCCTGATGGACTCCAGGGCCCGGTCCCCCAACACCATCATTAGCCAGTACTTTAATAAGGCTGTCAGCATCCTCGAGTCAAATAATAGTGAGAGTTTGTCAGAGTTTTGCCTCTTATTTTCGATATGCTGATGAAAATTATTGCTTATTATTATTGTTATTGTGGATTTTTAATTTTTTTATTATTATTATTTTCATTATCATTTTTATTATTATTATTATTATTATTATTATTATTATTGTTATTGTTATTATTATTATTATTATAGTTAGTGATATTGTTATTTTTGGAAAAGATATGAATGAGAATGATTACATTTCTTATAAAGATAGAGTCGAAATCATTCAGGTACCTTTATTATGCCTCTACAGTTGTCACTGCACAGTTATTATTGTTATAGTAATAATAATTGTTATTAATATTGTTATTATTATTATCAAT